GTAATTATTATGATTTATTATTTATAAAAATATTAAAATATAAAGAATAATGAAATTAAATTTAAAAATGTAAAAGTCAATAAAAAATAACAAAACGATTGTTTATAAAGAAATTATAATAAGAATAAAAAAATAAACAAAAAGAAAATAAAATAAAGGAAAAAAGCAACATTTTAATATTGAGATAAAAGGGAAAACTAAATAGTGATTCTATTTGTTGAAATAGTTGAGGTGGACAACTATTGAAAGTGATTCTATTTGTTTATGTCCACTGATTATTGTGGTGATTTTTTGATTGTTTTTAATCTTTTGGCATTTATGACAAATTATTACCATTATTTAAAAATTGAACTTTGACTCGAAATATTAAATGTAAATTATAACTTGAGTTATGAGAGTGGGTCTTATAGGGAACTGAACCTTATGGATTTGATTTTTGTATCCTCAGAAAAATATTTTTTAATAAGGATAGCTATAATCCTGAGGATACACCTTATCATCAAGAAACCCTTTAAATTACTCAGTAATCTAATTACTAAATTATCATCAAGACAAAACTTAAAAATCAAACTCTACAAAAATTTTTATATTTTATTTTTAAATATTATTATTTTGTGTTATTTTTTTTTTGTTAAACAAATATTTATTCGGCATATTTTTTAAAAAATTACCAAAACCCAAAACCCCCCAAAAAATAAAAATAAAAATTATTATTGATAAAATTATTATAATAACAGTTTAACCGCTTATTGTGGATAAAACGGTAAAATTAAACCTTTTTAAAGTCCAAATTAAAATTGTGTATTTCTATCCCTTTAATAAATGATATTTATTATGATTGTTTAAATCCATTTATTGAAAATGTTATTACCAAAAACTACTAAAGAGAAATTATAGAATATTAATTTTACTAAAATAATTATTTTAGACTTTGTATATCAAAATAAAGTTGTTTTACAATTATTAACTCTTGAATGAAAGCAATGATCATTTTTTGCTATCATGTGTATGTAAAAAATAAATCAAAATTGATAATTTTTGAATATAGAAATATATTAAATATTTTATTGTGTTAATTTATAAATTATGTTTGACTTTTCGTGTTTATATTAAAAGGTTTAAGCATTTTAAATATTATAACAGAGTTTATTAATAAAAATGTAACAAGTAATAATGAAATTATTATAGCAATTCATATTATTAAAATATAAGTAATTTATGATAGAATTGTGTATTCATTAAACTGGAGCATACTTTTTTGTTGTTATCAAAATACAATTCTTATTCTGTTGTGTAATAAAACAGTATTAATTAATAACTGTTTAAAAACATAAAAATACTTAATAACATGCTATTACCAATATAAACTATCCTTAAATTTTTTTATACAGCTGTAGTTATACAATAAAATAAATGATATTAATTTTTATGTTAATTTGTTTGTTTTATAATCATATTATAGTAATTATACAAAAGTTACAAATAAAATCAAATAATTTAATGTTATTATAATATATGATTTTATTAAAAAATTAAATTGCCAATAAATATACACAAACAAAAAATAATACATGTTGTTTGATTATTTAAATTGATATCTTGATAACTTTGTTATAAGAATAATTAAAAACTCTATTTTTATGAGTTGAAAAAGAACAATATATTATACTATCAATAAAATATCAAAAAATAAACACAAAAAATTATTATAAATATGTTTCAGTTTTTTTGAGCAAAAGTTGTCACCAATCAATAATTAAACAGTGTGAAACCATATTTGATTAATAATATAAAAAGACAACCAAAATACAAAGATTTTGTTGATAAATAAAAAGAGACACAATATTATTTAAATCAACTATTTTTTATTAATATTTGTATTTATAATACCAACAACGTAAACAATTACTAAATTATGGTTTGAATACAACATTTACTCGATAAATATTAAACTAAAGGAAATGAAACATTTCGTATTGGTTACTGTTATTTATTATCTTGTCATTTTTTACTAAATAAATATAATTGTCCGGCTGATTTCTGTAAATTATTTTTAATTATAATTGATTTTAAAAGTTGTATTAGATAATGTGAATATTAAATGTATTTAACACGATGAAGAAGTGGACTATTTTATTTTATTTAAAATATTATTAAATTGTTTTTTACCACTTGGCCAAAACAAAAATTGAATTGAATGTTATTGTTCTTTTTTTATTTTTTGATAACACGTAGAGTTTCTTAATGTTTTGTTGATATGTGTGTTTTCCAATAAGCATCAATTTCAAATTATTATTTAATTATTAACCAAATAACAAATTTACTATTCAAATATTGTGGGTTTTTTGAAAAAATAAAAAAAAGCTAATTTCCCGATTATTTATTTTTCTAAAAAACAAAATAAACAAAAAAATATTTAGTAATTTACATTATGGCGGCTTTAATTAAGACTCCACAAAAAAATAATTTAAATAATTAAATCATTAAAATGTACATAAAAATGACAATGCAAAAAAAACAATACAAGCAGAAAGTGATTGACAAACCCATATTTCTTCGTTGTGATTTCGACTTCTGATGTTTTTAAATACAATGATAAATTTATCAATGGAAGTTTAAATCCAAATTTTAGAAACTTTAAAATGGTGAAGGGTCTATTAATTTAATTTTTTTATAAATTTTTTAAATTGAAAAATTTTGGCGACAAATTTTTTATGTTATAATACAAGTTTATAAAGAAATCAGTTAATAATGTTTTATATATATGGTTTAATTTTGTCTGTTTGTTAACTCTATTGACTGCTTTAAATAATGCTGTTACTAAGTCACAATTATCATTCTATGTTGGGAAAAGAATTAAGAAAATTAATTGTAAAGCATATCTATATTAAACAATTAATCAAGAAATAATATATTTATAGTATATTGTTTATTTAAAATTTAATGAGTATACATATAAATAGGTTTTTCTAATAAAGTTGTACAGTGGTGGTATAAACCCACTTAAGTGAGTAAATTTTGTGTAACTTTGGTTGAACTTTAAGCCAAAATAGAAAAAACTTAAGTACCACCATTTATAAATAGAAAAATGGTTTTGATTGGGTCTTTTTTTGTTTTTCGAGAAAAAAGTCAAATTTGCTCGAGAAGAAAAAAAATATTTGAAATGGTTTTTTATTTTAATTAAAATAAACTTAAAATATAGCTTTTGTTTTTTACAAAATTCGTTTTGAAAAGTATTTTCTTTTGACAAAAAGAAGCTCAAAAAGTGAAAAAAGAACAATGACGAACACAATAGACAAGCTTGAAAATAAAAGCCGGATTGGATTTGTGGTCTTTTTTGTGCACATTATTTCAATGATTGTTTTTTAACAAATAACATTTAAAAATATTTCATAACAGTTGTTGTTAAGACTCAAAAGAAGATGATAGAAAGATAAAAAACATAAACAAATGAATTGAAATAAACGATAATTCAAACAAAAACAATAACAAATAAATAACATTTAAGGAACAATAAGAGAAAAAACGGGATAATACAAAGAATTGAATTTTTTGGATTGAGATTGAATTGATTATTTTTTATTTTATAAACTTCAAACATGGTATTTTTAAATTAAACTTTTGAGCTTTTGTTGAAAACTGTTTTAAAGAAACATTTGGATCAAAAAATAAGTTACATTTTGTGTAAATCGTAAAATGTGGTTTTTTACACAAAAATGAAAAAATCGTACACTTTTTGGTCAAATACCAAATGGATTCTGGATTCGACAAGTTTTCCACTCAAAGCATTAAAAACAGTGTTTTAACTTGAAAAGGACTTAAAAAATCATAAAATCTTCACCAGAACAAATCAACATATAGCCCAAGTTTTGCAAATGTCATGGAATAAATTTTAATTGATTATTTTTTTCTTTTTTTCTTTTTTGTTTTTTTTTGTTTTTTTTGTTATAAAAATGTTATAAAAATGTTATTTTTATTAAAAAATAATTTGTTATTATTAAAATGTTTTTGTCTTATAACACAATTTCAGTTTTTTTAAATTTTTTGTTATTTCCAAAAATAAAACCAAAATTTTCTCACTTAAGTGGGTTTATTCCAAATTAAGTACTTAAATATTGCCACTGTATTTGTTATAATCAATATTTAGTCATCATTTTTCATATAATGACCAATTGTTAATAGGTTAGCCCAATTTATTTATTAAATTAATGAAAAATTAAAATTATTATTAATTTACTTGCTGAAAAAACAAAATTATTAAAATGATCAACTATTTATTTAAATTATTATTACTATTTTATTTAAATAAATACTTCTTTGATATTTATTGAAAATATTTTTTTGAAAAACAATTACAGAAAGTATCTGTTTATTCAAAGAAAATTACATTTGAAAGATGTTAAAAATTTTCATGATATTATCAATTTTTTGTACTTTTACAACAGGACAGACAAAAACAGAAAGTTGTGGTTCTACTTCGATAACATCTGCGGTTTCTTGGACATCTGATTGTTCTCTTAGTGGTGATTTATATGTGTCAAACTCTGGTCTTTTATCAATTGAAAAATCCGTTATTGCAAACCAAATCATTGTTATTGAAACTGGTGGGACAATAAAAGTGAAAAAAATTTCAACACTGAATAACACAAAACAAATACTAATGCGGACTCGTTCAAATTTTTATTTGTATGATAATTCCTGTATCTTTTCAAATTTCCACATTTTTGTTTACAACACTTCTATACTCAATTTATATAACAACTCGTCAATTCAAATTGTATTTCCTATCATGGTTGAAGACTCCGGGAAAATACAATTATTCAACAACTCGACTCTGAATGCAACGTATTACATTGACTTGGTAACTGGAAGAATTCAAGTTGGTGACACTTCTAAATTTATAGTTAAAAATCGATTGACTGGATTGAAGTATTCTTCAATTTCTTTCGTAGATAATTCAAAAGTTGCCATCTTTGATATATTTTCTTTGGCTGATGGCACAACGTGTGAAATAAAAGGTAATTCTTTAGTTGAAATATATAACAGTTTTCTTATGAATACGTCATCTGATTTAACACTTGACGATAAATCACAATTGAGAGTATTTGCAGGGCAAATTGAATTTAAAAATTCTAACATTTTAATGAATAAAAATTCGATATTAATGATATTTGGAACACTCGCTTTGAAAAATGAAACTTATTTTGGGTTGTATGACACGGCTTTTATATCAAATCCAAGTAAGTTTGAAATAAATTCGGATACAAAGTTTGAGTTTGGGATTGCAGAGGACATGATGGCAATAAAGTGTAATGTGTTGTCGTGTTATGGCACATTTGTATTTGGAAATCGTGGATATATAAGTGTGATGAATTCTATTACTCTAGGAAATACATTTTCAGTAGACTTTTTTAATGTTAAAAGGACAATCAAAGATATTCCTTTGTTCTACACCAAAACACTTTTTATGGACAGTTCGTCTGATTTCTCTAAATTTGATTGTGAGTTTGATTTGGCATTTTTCAATGGAACGATATCTCCAAAGACTGGCGAAAGTTTTCCAACCACATTTAAATTGTTAACGAATGATATGTTGTTAAGATATGGAGTTTCAGACAAGATATTTTGCCATTTGAATGGCACTGAAATTTCATTGGGAAACTTTATTGAGCCCTACTGCCCATGTACAACCAATTGTTATATCGTGCCACTTGATACAATCAGCGAATTAATAATTACTGATGAATCGAAATTGATTAAAAGTAACAAAAATACTCATAAAAACAACATAAAATTGATATAGATGAAAGTGATGTTGTCGTGATCGGGACGCTATTTGTAAGTATGAAGAGATATATTTCTTTAAATATTAATATTGAAACATTAGAAATACAGACAATTAATTTTGCGAGTATTTCATCAAATAAAAGTGTTATAGTCCTGAGCCAAAAGTACTTTATATACAACAACAAACAATGCACTTATGGTGTATACACAAAGAACAGTTTTACTTGTCTGAATTATTATTTTTGTACCAACTTATATTACTCTACAACTCCATCAAAGTGTATTGAATGTCCAATTGAAAAATGTGTTTCTTGTTTAAGTACAGGAAAGTGTATTAAATGTGAAACGAATTATCTTTTGGATAGTAAGAATAACACGTGTACACTATTTCATATAGACAACTGTTTGATATCTCAAAATGGAATTTGCTTGAAATGTGACGAAGGTAAATTGTTAGAAAATGGTTTGTGTGTTTCACCCAAGAACAATTGTCAGCAATTTGATATCGATGCGAATTTTTTGTTATGTGACACAACACGTAAATTGATTAATAAAGGTATTTTATGTGAACCAGTTGATATTAATAGTAATTCAAACTCACAAATAAATATCATTTCTTGTGTTGATAGGTACTTTGTTAAAAACAACAAATGTGTGTCATGTCAAGATAAGTACATTGGAAGTAACTTATGTGACTCAATACGACCACTACAATGTAACACAACATTAGATTATGTGTTGGAAGAAAATAAAAATTGTGAAAAAAGTTCGTGTTTTTTAATGGAAAATACACAGAAAGACCAAAATGGAAAATGTCTTTCTAATCAACCCAATTGTCGAATAATAGTGAATAACAAGTGTGTTACCTGTGATGAAAATTACATTTTATCAAATTCAAAGTGTCTATCGTCCGTTGATAATAATTGTGAAATTAAAAACTCAACGTGTTTGCGTTGTAAACCGACATATTATATTAATGATACAAATACATCAACGTCTCAAATGTGTGTAAGTTGTGATGCTTCAAAATGTCTAAATTGTGTTTTGAATTCCACAACATGTCTTTCTTGTTTTTCCGAATATTATCTCAACGCCAATTACGAGTGTATTTCCAATGAAAAACTTTTAGAAAAATGTCATAAACTATCTTCAGTGAGTAGTGGGTGTGTTATATGTAAAGATGGGTATTATCGAAATGGTTTAGATTGTCAGAATCGTTTGATAAATTGTTTTACATGTAATACAGCAAATTCTTGTTTAACATGTAACTCAACCAACTACATGACAGGTGACGGCTTGTGTAAACCACAAAACGAGTTACAAGAAATTTGTTCTGATAAAGTGACATCAGATGGGTGTTCACTCTGCAAAACTGGTTTTTATTCACAACATAACGAATGTTTTAAATGTGATATTGAATGTTTTTCATGTTCACAAAGTGGGAGTTGTATGTTGTGTAATGGAGAAAACGTTGTTAAAAATGGGAAGTGTTATTCTCTCTCTACAGTGTCTAAATGCATTGAAATTTCCACTTCAAAATGTTCCAAATGTGCATTTTGGCATATTCCAAGTGAGGATGGCACTTTTTGTGAGACGAAAATTGTTTGGTGGGTCATTTTAATTATCGTATTAGTCATCAATTTCATCTTCATCTTATTTTTCGTCTTATTTGGTGTTTCACTCTCATTTATTTTAAGATGGATGAGTAACAAAAAGGTCACAGAGACTCAAACAATTTTTATAATGAGTAAATCAAACATTCAATTTATGTCACTAAGAAATGGCGTTTGTGTTAATCGTTCAGAAATTGATTTTAACACTGACTTGGACGAAATTCCAATTTGTGAAGAAACTCGACAACTTCTATGTATTGGAAATAACTCAGAAAGAACAATGAAAGTTCAAATGAGTGTTTCGTCGAACGAACAGAAATTTTTAATCCGAACGAACCCGCCAGTTGTTACTTTAAAACGCGGATTTGCATGTGAATTTGAAATTTTTGTGAAACCAAATTACACAACTAAATTCTGTTCGAAAGCTAAAATTGTATCAAAGTCTTTGCAAAGTGGCGTTGAAACAATCAACGAAATAACAATCAAAGGAGTCACACAAATATCCACACGACTTGATCCCGATGAATTAATAGAAGAGAAGAAAATCGGAGAAGGTGGATTTGGTGTAGTTTATAAAGGGACTTATCGAGGAAATGTAGTTGCAATAAAGAAAATGAGAGACTATAAAGACAGCACTGAACTACTTCTGGAATTTGAAAATGAAATCTACATGTTAGACAAATTTCGGAGTGAATATATAGTCCATTTCTATGGAGCTGTGTTTATCCCAAATAAGATATGTATGGTCACTGAATTTGCACAATATGGAAGTTTGAAAGATCTGATGAACCATAAAAAGACAAACGAAATTGATGAGAAAATAAAATTAAAAATGATATTAGACGCTGCTAAAGGAATTTTGTATTTACATGAAAATGGGATATTACACAGAGACATCAAGCCAGACAATATCTTGGTAATTTCTCTGGACTTAAATGATAAAGTGAATGCGAAATTGACGGATTTTGGAAGTAGCAGAAACGTTAATTTACTGATGACAAACATGACATTCACAAAAGGCATTGGAACACCGGTTTTTATGGCTCCTGAAGTGTTAAATCAAGAGAAGTACAAACAAGCCGCAGATGTGTATTCATTTGCAATTTCGATGTATGAGTGCTTTGTATGGGGAAATGCGTATCCAAAAGAAAAATTTAATTTTCCTTGGAAAATAGCAGAATTTGTAAACGAAGGTAATCGCCTTCAAAATCCAGGTACAATAAAAAGTGAAATATACACTTTGATTTGCATGTGTTGGCAACAAGAACCAAAAAACAGAATTCCAATTAAAGTTGTTGTGGAAAAACTCGAAAAAGTTATCTAAAATAATAAGAGTGTTATTAATTTATTTTGCTTGTGAATTATTGACATGGTTATAATAATTTGTTTTATCAATTTTTTAGCATCTAATTTATTTAATTTTAAGACACAATTTCTTTCGATATTCATTTAATAACATTTTCAAATTTGTAATTTGCCTCCTTTTTATATATAAACCAAATTAACCAAAATAAAAAACTTTTCCTTTGCAATTTAAAAAACAATAAATAATTTTTTTTGTTCGAAATGGCATTTTACTTTAGTGTTATTAAAATGGAACAATTTAATAATAATATTTAATCATAATATATTAAATGTGTACAATAGGGGATATCCTTTTACACAACGACATTCAATTTTTTATTTCAACAATGTGAAATAACATGCAGATCAAAAATTTCGGTAAATATGCATTTGAGTATACATCTAGGCTGGTTATCAAATTAAAAAACGTCAAATAATCACACTAAGTCAGTAAAGAATGTGTGATAGAAAACATTAAAAAATATGTAGTTGCATTCAAATTGTTGATTATGCACCGCTTCCGCTCACTTTTGGTGTTTTTTATTGGTACAAACTCTTGATTTTTTTGTAAACAGGGGAGTAACAACACGATGACATAGTATGGAAAATGAATGTGGTGATATAAAACAATAGCTGAGAAGTGGACTTTCGAGAAATGATGTATATACTTAAATTAAAAAATTGGCTTGAAAGAAAAAACACTTGTTGTACATTTATTTGTTTTCATGTAGATTTCATAACTAATTATTATACTTTGTTCAGTATAATTTTAATGTTTGTTGTCTATTGATTTTTCAAAAAGAAGTCAATTGTATAATTCATAAAAACAATTTTTTTGTGTTTTCTAGCAGGACTATCCAAATTAATCCGCTAAAAGGCGAGTTAAGGTTTTTAGTGCAAAAAAGTAATAAAAAATAACTTTTTTATCAATTTGATCAGAAAAAAAAGTGTTTTTTGTATGTAAAAATTTCCCGCTTTTTTGGATATTTTAGTTGTATTATATATATTTTTCCACTCTTTTTAATAGTTGTATAAGTAAAAATATATAAATGTGTTCATTTCTTCATTCAAAATTGTTTTTAAGTATTAATATATCTATAATATATTTGCCATTGATTCTAAAAAATGTCAAACCATAAATTAAATTTCCCGATTTAATAAATAAAATAACCATATTTGAAAAAAAAACAATTAAACTGATCTGAAAACTTAAAGTATTGAAACACCTCGAGAAAAAGAGACTCGAAAAAACAATGTAAATATTAAATTTTTTATTTTATATCAAGAACATGGGAAAATGTTTGTGATGTTAATAACTTCGGCCGTATAGTTCAAGTTTAAACAATTTTATTGACCAAAAGAATTTTTACTAAGTTTTATTGAAACACATTAAATGTGGCAACAAACTATTAAACAATTAATGCATAAACATGTGTTTGATAAGAGAAATTGGACACAATATTTTGAGTCAAAAAAAATAAGAGAATAAAATTGATTTCGATTAGCTCCAAATTTTGAACTAGTTGTGCTTTTTCTTTTGTTTATTTAATAATAATTTATTTTTTTTGTTATTTAACTTATAAAAAAATTAAAAGTCTTTTTTTAGTTTTTTTCTTTTGAAATTGATAAAATATTATCATTTTCAAACTCGCCTTTTAGCCGAATTTGGGGAACTCTGTTTCTAGTTTGCTTTTATTGAATTTAAAAATTTATCATGTTTAATATTATTTAAATTATGTAACATAAATATTATGTTAATTTTTATTTGTTTTTCCTTGTTATAGTTAAACAGATTTTAAAGTCTCGTAATTAAAATTGAGAAAAAAATCATTATATCTAGTTTTATAAAAATAAAGTCTTAAGTTGATTTAAATTTAATAAAAATGATTTAAATTGATTTTGGTTAAGAATTATCATTAATGTCCAATTATAAACTGTTGTTATTAAGACAATATTTATAAACCATTATAATCATTTAGAATTGTTACAAATGATTTTTATCAACAATATAAAGACCATTGCTTTTAATCTTATAAATTCAAAATGTCGACTGAACAACCGAAAAAAACGATTTCAATTGGCATTGATTTCGGCACATCCAAAATTGTCATTTCATATTGTGATAAAAACCAGCAAATTCGAACTGTGACTTTCAACGATGGCTCATCTATCACTCCTGCATGGCTACGACTTTTTTATGACACTCCCAATTCACCAACAATGTCTTTCGTTGTTGGCGAACAGGCTAAATACCCCAAAGACCGACTGAATTACGACAACACCTTTTACAACATTAAGCGCTTACTAGGTAAAACATTTGAAGAGTTGCAAGACGAGTCGGAGAGTTTAGGTTTTGAGTTTAAAGAAGATAATGGGCATGCTGTAGTTGTAGTTAATTCTCAGCCAGAACCAACTACTTTCCGACCCAAAGAAATTGCCGCCCTTTTCTTCAAAACACTGATGAACCAAATTAAAATGGAAGTGCCCGATCTTGTAGGACCCAATATGTTTGTTGGTGTTCCCGTTAAAATGACTGCGGAAGCTGTTCAAGATTTGACAGATGCTGCCAAGTTGGGTGGTTTTGAAACTGTTGATATTATCACTGAGCCAATAGCAACAGTTCTCTATTATTTGGATGCAAACAAGGAATCAGCAGCAAAGAATTTTATAATAATTGACATTGGTGCTTGTACCCTGACATTTCATATATTCAGAAAAATGCAGATGGATATTATGAGTCGGTTTACTCTGATAGAAACAACGACCTTGGTGGGAACAATTTCGATGCAATTGTATCTGAAATGATCAAAGAAAAGGTTCATGAAATTGATCCTTATTTTTATGAAAAAAGGCCCAATACTTTGATTACAGAGCGCTTAAACAAGGAGACGCCTCAATATTCTCAAAAAAGTTTCTGAAGAGACAAAAATTGCGTTTTCCACAAAATCTCAAGTCGACATCGAATTTAAATATTTGTTGACAGAAAATGATATGAAAAACAGTGTTTTGTTACATGAGTTTGATTTCAATGATACATTTAATTTACAAAGAAGTGAATTTATTAACAAAGCACAAGACCTTTTTGATGACATTAAAGATACAATTTTTGGAATCTTGAAACATGCAACAGTACAACTCAAAAAAATTGGGAAAACAATTTTAGTTGGTGGAGGTGCGCGTATTCCAGGTGTTAAAGAAGCTGTAACAAAGGCGATGACTAGAGTAAACAAAAATGGTAATTTCATAATTGAAACGGAAGATAAAATGACAACAATTTCTGAAGGTTGTGCGATACATGCATCAATCAGTTTGGGTACAAATGTATTCAGTAACATTATCTAGAGATCGTCGTATACAGTGGGACTCAGTGTAAGTGGTGTTTTTGAAATTTTTGTGCCAAGGGAAGTCGTATTGCCTGTTCACTTTGAAAAAATGTATGAGTGTGAAAAAGGAGAGAAAGAAATTGTTTTGAGGTTTTATAAGACCGAAATTGAACTAAAAAAGAATGTTGAATACAGAACAAATTGTATGGGATTCAAACATTTAGTAGACGTTAAAATACCACCTGGCGACTCTGTAAAAATAGAAGTGGATGTCGATTTAACTGGAAATACTGCAATCAAAGCAATTCTAAGAAATGGTCAAGTGTTGAAAGGTGGCATGTTGGTTGATACTTCATCACTCAACAAAGATCTGCTTGCACTGAAAAGGCACATCGAAAACACAATAAGTTTTAATTGAGTTTAACTGAACATATTTATTATTATTTTAAAAAAGTTATTGTTTGTTGATATTGTCAACAATGCTATAAAATACATACAATGTATTTTTTTAAAACAGTAACACATTATCAATAACATACAACGTTGTTGGTTTTATTTGATAACATAAGTTTTATTCAATTGTATTAAATAAAATAACATTCAAGTAAAAATAAATCAAATAATTCGACAGACACTGTAATCCTTTGTCAAATCTCGTGGTTGTGCATTCTGTTGATATTCGAGTTGTTGTTGATACAAGTGCTCAAACAATACATCATTGTCACAAATCTTACTTATCACAAAGTTAAACAACTCATTGACTCCTTCTCCCGTTTTTGCCGAACACATCTTAAATGTGACTTCTTTTTCTCTGTTGCACAAATTTTGTGCCATTTCATGTGTGACAAGTGGATTGGCTAAATCAATTTTGTTGCATACAACAACATAAATAACGCCATTTGCAGTCGTTTGTCTCGCTGTTTCAATCCACGTATTGACATCTTCAAACGACTTTGGATCGTGTGGATCAAACACAACTTGATATTACTCAGTGTTATAATATGGAAATAAGAATAAACAAACCAAGACAAATTTGTGTATTTCTGAATATCAAATCATAATTTTGTTTTTGTCTAACTATGTGTCATTCAATGTTTGTATTACTCAAAGGGTGTTTTTTGAGTTTATCGTTATTATTATAATTATTAAAGTGACATACCTACATCCCACAACACAACTTTGATTTCTTTTTTATTGTAAACAATATATTTCATATTTAAGGCGCAAAAAATTGAATTGACATTTTGGTCGTGAATTTTGTTGTTTACAAAGCGCTCGATGATTGACGTTTTACCCACATTTGCATTTCCAACAACACTTATTTTCAATGGGACAACTATCTCTTCCATTTCTTTTTAAGATTTGATAGTTATTTTTTTATATAATTAATTTGTTGAGTTTTAATATTAAAAATGAGAAGTGATGTTTTTATTTATTACTCCACATTCTTTTCATTAAATTATATCAATATTATTTAAAAACAATACAACTTAATTATAAATAATAATATAATATAATAAAATGTGATATAAATAATAAAAGTGATTTAAAACATATAAAAAGTGTTAACATACCAAATTTTACACATTGACTGTATTTACATGTAAATTTGATAATAAATCAAACAAAATAATTAATTATATAGTGAAACCAACACAAATTATTATTTACAAATTATAATTATTTTAATGTTGTTAAATACCATGAATATATTTTATATAAAAAATATTCAAATGAGAACTTAAAACCAACACATTCAATAAATGTCGAGATTGGACAGTTAGTAACTGATGATCGTTTCATAATGTTTCAATTCAATTTCCGATTTTATCAACGCAGAGATGGTTTGTAAAAAGTATCACTCAACAATGGAAAGGTTCCACTCAAACCCAATTCCCCTCACACAAAAGACAATTAAATATTTCCCTCACATTGAGTCTCTCAATATTTGGTCCAAACTCGATGAATTGTTTGGTAATGAATTTATTGGAGACAATACAATCGATGTTGCACAAACGTGTTGTACATCACCAAACAACACTCATAACACTAAAATATCGTTTTTTGAAATACTCATTTGGTACAAAGTGTCATACACTTTCACACAGCACAAAAAATCAACAAATTACAAATTCAAGAACATCTGTCTTGAACACACAGACAGACAACATTTGTCTTCCCAGATACCCCGTGTGAATAGCATTGGTGACAAATGCTTTTACAAAAGTACATTTCTCAATGAAGTGACACTTCCACAAACACTCACGTCGCTTGGGGAGTACTCCTTTGCAAATTGTGATAAACTGACATCAATACTTTTATCTCACAATTTGTGTCACATTGGTAAAAACACTTTTGAAAATTGCACTTCACTCGTTTGTGTTGTTCTTCCAGACACAATCAAAACCATTCCCACTTCATGTTTCCAGAACTGTGTTTGTTTGGCCGTTGTGACATTTTCAAGACAACTTGAGAAAATAGGAAACAACGCCTTTTGCTGTTGTTCGAGTCTTGAAATTGTTGAAATACCGCCAACTACAAATTGTGTTGGGAAGTATTGTTTTCACAATTGTACTCGTCTGCGTCAAGTCAACATCCCAAATGGTGTCAAAGTACTTGAAGAGAACACATTCTGCTGCAACGCGTTTACTCAAATTGACATTCCAGAGGGAGTGACTGAAATTGGCGATCAGTGCTTTTATGGGTGTAAATACTTAGAAAGTGTTGTTGTGCCTGACAGTGTCCGCCGTCTTGGCAATTTCTGCTTTTATGGGTGTCGAGAACTGCGTGAAATCAAAATTGGAAACAACGTGGAAAGTGTTGGGGATTTCTGCTTTGGTGTGTGCACATCACTCACAAGAATGACCACACAACACACTGTTTTTACCCTCTGTGAGAAGTTGTTTGATAAAAACATTGTGTTTTGCAATGATAACAACTGCGTTGTGTATAAATTGTGAATGTTTATAACTGCGTTGTACATAATGATATCAACACGATACTTGCATAAAACCAATGTTTTGTTATTACTTTTAGTAAAATTATTTTAACAACGCAACCAGCAACATCCAATACTTCAACACAAAAACACATTTTTTCATGGAAGGAGTTTTCAATTGATAACAGCGCAAATAAAAACGATTCATATTTACTTGTTAAAAAAAGGTAATTACAAGAACTTATTCTATATATTATTATATTTATTACTATTAATTGTTAAATAAAATAATTTGTATTTATTATTTACAAAATAAATAACGAATTATTATTATCAATAATTCCATACAAATTCAACGATATAATTAACGATGGTTTCAATTGACAATTTGTTAATTACAAATAACTGTTAAATAGAAATAGATGTTAATTTTTAATTGACTTGAATGGTGAATTCTTATTTCGTTTTGTGTTTTAAAATTATTCGATGCACAGAATATAAAGAGAATTACCAAAACTCATAAACACAGAACACGCCACATGGCTGAAACATCAGAAATTGATTTTGCCTCATTGGAACCGACACTGTTAAACCGAATCTCGACACGAACATATGGCACGGTATATCCAACAGCTGACCAAGTGACTGCAATCAACACATTCATCGCCAAAATCAACTCGATGAATGCCCCATACAACAAGCCATGCAAATTTGCACTTCAGATGGAAGATTTCAGTTCATTCCGTACGTTTGGGTTCATCACGGGCTCGAAGTATTGGATTTTCGGTGTGACGGGGAAAAATGACCGGAACAGCGACTTGTCGTATGGGTATCTGATGCACCTGATCATACTGGAATGCACCCGCCTCGGCCTCAAGACGGTTTGGTTGGGTGGGACATTCACGACGTCCGTCTTCACTGCAAT